CCAAAAGATGTTAAAATTGTCAATAAACTTTATCCCATGAGTGAAGCATGCCGATGTCAGCCATGTATTCAGGGCAAGGAGTCTGGTAAAAGACTCGATTCCTTTCCCCAGGGTTGGAATGGGGCCAGAAATGAACACATTTTGTGACTGACAGTCACTCAGTTTCTCCAGGAGCAGGGAAAAGTCTTTTTTCAGGATCTCAGAGCCAGTTTTTCCTCGTAGAATGTCAAAAGACCCAGCATGGATGATGATCCTCATGTTACTGGGGTGTGTAGAGAGGATCACTGGCAACAGCTCGGTTAGCTCCCTGACAGACGTGTCAGACACTGTTAGATTTTCAGTCTTTGCCATTCTTACATGCTTGGTTATTGAGTCTCCGATCAGGATGGTATCTGGCTGATCAGGTGTGGTGTTAGCGATACTTCTCCTGGCCCTTGGCTTCTCAGGTGTGGAGTTAGCATAGTTTTTTCTGGCCCTGGGTCTAGCAGTGGTTTTGGGGCTATTGCTTGCATTTTGGATAGCCTTGGCCTGCCTGGGTTCAGTGTAGTTGGTATTGTCACATATTTCATTTGGAGCCAGTGCATCATACCTGTTGTGTAGAGAGAGTTCAAGTGGAGGGGTGAGCGTTGGGGCTCTCTTGACTGATTTCCTGCTGGATTTGCCTTTGCGTCTAGTGACATCAGACCAAGTCCTGGCTGGAGTTGATGCTTTTGGTCGAGCACCAGTCCTGTGCCAGTAGGAAGGGTCATTAGGGAAGGCCAGTTTGGGAGCCTCTGCAGCTGATCCAGTGGTGTTAGGACATATCCATGGGATTGTGTCAGCCAAGTCAGCGATGGTATGCTTCACATTTGTTGTATTTCCATATACACCAGTCTGTCCATCAGCATCTTGTATGTTAGCTGCCACAGAGTCAATGAATTGCTCACTCTCACGAATTTGTTGTAGCGTTTCATTCTTCATTTGAAGCTGCCTTATCGTCTCGGTTAGTCACTCACACTCTGTGCAGCACACAGATTTTGCCATCTTGTCCTTGTCCTAATCACAGGTTTCCAGTCACAGACACAGCAAAAGGCTTGCACTGTGCCTCAGCCCTGCTCACACAGTACTAAAGTGGTGAAAAAGTGGTGAAAATATGGCAGTAGTCCTCTGTATCTTTCACAAATTAAAGTCCCAGTGCTTTATAAGTATCCAGGATCTACTTTCTGTAGCTTTTAGCAGAAAAAAAACAAGTATATCCACAAAAGAATGTAAGCAAAGCGGAGCGCAAGCAGCAGAGCGTCTGCACTGTAAGAAAGCCGGAAGCAAAAGCTTGGCTTTTTGACATATCCGGTAAGAAAACTGAGTCCAAAGAAGGTTTTCAGTTCTGAGACTGACACTGGTTTCCATGCATTTCTTCTGCTATATGGCAGACTGTCAGGGTGTATTTGCATATACTGACTTGCGTACAGGTTGGTCTGATCCGCAATGTATTGGAGCAGCTCATCAGTCAGGAAGAGCTCAAGGAAGTCAGCTGGCAGCTCGGAATCCAGCTCCGCGGCGGCATTCCGGGGTCCGGGAGTTGCAGTGAAGGGGATCTTATTCGGTCGGCAGTCGGCGTGATGCCAGCCAGGATCTGCAACTGGGGGCGGCCTGCCACCTCCTTGCCCACGACCTCTGCTCGATGCACGACCTGCAAATCATATAAATATATACAATTACCATAAACATACATCTTTTTTATTTCTGTGGTGTGATGTGGAGAAAAATACTTTTCTTTTTTTACCTTTCTTCTTTTCTGCACTGCCAACAGGAGTGGGAGTGGGAGGTCTGGGATCTCTGCTCGATTCACAACCTGTAAATTTTGGTAGTACATACAATTACCATAAGACAACATTACATTTTTTTTAGTTGTGTGGCAGCTTTAACTAACTCCTTGACTGGTGAGCATGGTGGAGGGGGGGAGGGTTGACGCTGGTTCTGTGTTGATTGTGGTGATGGTGGTGGGGAGGGTCAACGTTGGCTCCTTGGTGGTTGCGGCGGTGCTGGAGGGGGGGCGTTGGCTCCTTGGTTGTGGTGAAGGGCAGGAGGGGGGTTGCTGGATCCCTGACTGGGACAGGGACATCCTCTGAATGCCTTGGGTGATGTGGAGCAAAGGGTCAGGTGAAGGGGGAGAGATGCAGGCTGTCTGTCTCTGTGCCCCGTACTTGTCCTTGGCTCTTATCTGTCCATTCTTGTTTTGGCATGGCATTCCAAGAGCATTATGTAGGTTGGCCCCGAGTAGTCTGCATGCAGTGATGTTCGGATGAATCCCATCACGCTGAAAGTGATCCTTACAGTTCCAAAAGATGTTAAAATTGTCAATAAACTTTATCCCATGAGTGAAGCACGCCAATGTCAGCCATGTATTCAGGGCAAGGAGTCTGGTAAAAGACTCGATTCCTTTCCCCAGGGTTGGAATGGGGCCAGAAATGAACACATTTTGTGACTGACAGTCACTCAGTTTCTCCAGAAAAGTCTTTTTTCAGGATCTCAGTTTTTCCTCGTAGAATGTCAAAAGACCCAGCATGGATGATAATCCTCATGTTACTTGGGTGTGTAGAGAGGATCACTGGCAACAGCTCGGTTAGCTCCCTGAAAGACGTGTCAGACACTGTTAGATTTTCAGTCTTTGCCATTCTTACATGCTTGGTTGTTGAGTCCCCGATCAGGATGGTATCTGGCTGATCAGATGTGGGCCTGGCCCTGGCCCTGGGTCTAGCAGTGTTTTTGGGGCCATTGTTTGCAGTTTGGATAGCCTTAATACCACGAGTGTGATTGGCCTCCCAGGGTTCAGTGTAGTTGTATTGTCACACATTTCATGTGGAGCCAGTGCATCGTACCTGTTCTGTAGAGAGAGTTCAAGTGGAGGGGTGAGCGTTGGGGCTCTCTTGACTGATTTCCTGCTGGATTTGCCTTTGCATCTGACGACGTCAGACCAAGTCCTGGCTGGAGTTGATGCTTTTGGTCGAGCACCAGGCCGGTGCCAGTAAGGGTCGTTAGGGAAGGCCAGTTTGGGAGCCTCTGCAGCTGATCCAGTGGTGTTAGGACATATCCATGGGATTGTGTCAGCCAAGTCAGTGATGGTATGCTCCACATTTGTTGTATTTCCATATATAACAGTCTGTCCATCAGCACCTTGTATGTTAGCTGCCACAGAGTCAATGAATTGCTCACTCTCATGAATTTGTTGTAGTGTTTTATTCTTTTTTTGAAGCTGCCTTATCGTTTCGGTTAGTCTTTCACACTCTGTGCAGCTCACAGATTTTGCCATCTTGTCCTTGTCCTAATCACAGGTTTCCATTCACAGACACAGCAAAAGGCTTGCACTGTGCCTCAGCCCTGCTCACACAGTACTAAAGTGGTGAAAAAGTGGTGAAAATAAGGAAGTAGTCCTCTGTATTTTTCACAAATTAAAGTCCCAGTGCTTTATAAGTATCCAGAATCTAGTTTCTGTAGCTTTCAGCAGGAAAAAACAAGTATATCCACAAAAGAATGTAAGCAAAGCGGGGCGCAAGCAGCAGGGCGTCTGCACTGTCAGATAACTCCTTCCCCAAATAACCACAAAGAAGGCGAAACCCAGTTCAACTTCTTTAATGGTGAACTAGGGTAGGGTAAAATGACAGTCTTCCCAAAAAGGCTGAAATGCAGCAGATGACAATGGATGCTGACAGCATGAAGGGATGATCTGCCATTCTCTCCAGGAACTGAACTATCGTGAGGTCTTGCAGGACTTTGCGAGATTAACTACCAAAGTCTCTTAAAGAGACAGTGCTCTGTACTGCTACTACTGCAATTATCTTGCTCTCTGACAGAACACAGATGCTCAAGAGTGCTCAGTTTCACATGTGACTGATACTAGATAACTAGATGGTGAATCAGAAAACAAATGAAATATAAAACTTGGGTGTGATAAACTTCAGTTTAATCTCTTATCTGTCTTCACTCCAGTACGAAACTCCTGTATGTTCTGATGTATCAGATCAGCCCAATCTGCTGCAGCGTCCAGTCAATACAATGTGGGGGTGTGAGCCGATAAAAGACTTCTGTGAAAGCTGCTGTCGTGTATCCTTGCTCATCGCTATTCAGAGATCCCTCCTTGATCATCATTCCTCGCTCCTTTGAGCAGAAATAACAGCTTTGACAGTCTTAAAAATGGTGCATCAGAACAACTTGTGGTTCAATCAATGATCGAGGAGCAAGGAATTGACAATCAAGAGACTTGGGATGCAGCCCTGGACTCAATAATGAACTAATTAGATTTTGGTGGTCAAAGGTCGCCATGACCTTGCAGTCATCTTATTCTCATGAACGCGATATCTCAAGAACAACTTAAGAGAAATTTGGCACAAACATCCACTCGGAAACTGATTAGAATTTGGTGGTCAAAGGTCAAGTTTACTGTGACCTCACAAAACACGTTTTTGGCCATAACTCAAGAATTCTTACGCTAATTATGACAAAATTTTACACAAATGTCTAATAGGATAAAATATCAAGTGATGACATTTTATATCCAAAAGGTCAAAGATCAGCTTCACTGTGACATCATAATATTATGCAGTTAAACTTTTCTGGCCATTACTCAACATCATACTCATCATGGAGCAGAAAGGAAAAGATTTGGTCAGATACTGAATCGGTAATACCAATTTTGGGTGTCCACCTTGAAACTGTGCTGATTGTATAGATCTTTCTGTGCTGCCAGGGGGAAGATGTATGTGAAGCATCCATGTTTTTACAAACAAACTGTTTTTACAAACATGGATGCTAAACATTTTATATTGCCAGTGTGAAGTTGGAGGGGAATCATAGGTCCATGTTTTCACAGACATATGTAAACTGTAAGAGAAACTTGACAGTTTTGTGGAGGCATACAACTGCAAGGTGGTAATTGTAGTTGTATTGCTAAGAGATTAAACATTGTTTTTGTGTGTCTTTTTAAGCTTTTTGTCCTCTAAATCAGACTGTTGTGTTCCACTCAGGTACATGAGAGGACGTGTGTCATATCAGCAACTTAATGCTGTGGTGCAGAGCATTAACACAGCTGCAACAGCAAAGTACAAGATCCTCCATCAGTCAGTGAAAACTCTCAACAATCATGCACGCAAGCTGCACCAGCGCTTTAAGGAGCAGGAGACATCAGATACAAAAGGTATGCTGACAGCAAAACTGAAGCTAACAGATGTCCATTTCTCAGAGATGATGATTAGTATGTTTGAATTATGCATTTAGTACAACCATTGACCAATGATGAAACATTGCATGTATGTTGTCTGATCAGTGCTCTAACCTAAGAGTGAATTCTGATGTGACATTTTTATCTGATCCCATCCATCAGTGCGCTCTTATTACCGTATTTCTTTTACCATATTGGAAATGATGTTTAATGTTCCATAGTGTAAAGACAGAGCTCAGTATTTTCAGTGAATTGATCTGTGTTAGTCTGATAAAAAGAAAAGCTCATTATACTGGGAATGGGTAAAAAAATTGATACAGCATTGTATCAATATTTCTTTGTGTGGCAATATCGTATTGTTACAGGGACACCAAGTATTAATTTTTTTTTATTTTAACACAAAATAAACCTCTGGTATCTACTAGAATAATATAATCAATTGCTCTTCAGTCCACTATACATTTTGCTGCAATTAAAATGATTGAAGTGAGATAACCAAACAGAAAATTTAATCTTATTAGATAAAACAGATGCTGACACAATTTTCCTATGGGGACAGTATTTGTAGTTGGAAAAAAGTAATAAATCACAATATATTTTATCGGAATACTCAGCATATCGCAACACTTTTAGAATTGCAATAATACTGTATTATGACTTATGTATCGTTAATATCCTATGGTCGGGCCTCGGATGATTTCCACCCCTACAGGATACTGCAACTTGAGAAAACACAAGCAGGTATAATAATTTTCACTTTGACAACACATACATCACTTTGTAATGAAAGCTGCAAAAAAATAAAACACATTGATCAAACTGATGAATAATAAAGAAAAAACATAAGCAAATATACAGGGATTAAAGTTCTCAGTTGCTATGATGGATATCCGTCATTTGGAGTTCATATAGGCCAGGTCTATTTAATTGGCAGCCCACGGGCCAAATGCGGCCCAGAAACAACCTCCAAGTGGCCCAGCTAGGGATGGCTACTGAGACTCGGTATTAAATGGCCTGGAACGAAATTAATCAAAACTGTAGTATTAATAAGCTCCGACATTATCGGATCTTTTATCGTTACTTTTTTGGTTTCATTTATCGTCATGCTGCAGCCTCTCACCTGCCATCCACATTTCAGAGCTGACCTCTTCCACACAGCACACATACACAGACACACACAAACATGACAGAGTGAAGTCAGACAACAGCAGAGAGGCCACAGTGCAGATGAAGGGAATACAACTTCAAGATTACTGTAGCTGACAACTACGCTTGTTACTGTGAGCAAGTGCAATAAACCTTTGCCAGTAAAAAGCCAATACTTTATCAATACATGTGTTCAGCATGTAGAAAGAGATATTTCAATCTGCTCTGTCCACAGTCTCATTTACTGCTGTTGTGGTTTACAGTCACGGTTTACACAAGCACATCACACTAGCACGGCTTAAAGTAAAATGTTAAAAACAAACTAAAATGAAAGCTGTCTGTATTTAGTCTGTTTTAACTTTAGTCTAACTGAGCCCTCATGTTCTTAGTATTCCCCGAGTATTTTATTCTCACATGACACTGCTTGCAAGTCACGTGTCATATCCAAGTCCTTGTTGCCTTCCATGTTAAAAAAAAAACAAAATAGGTCCAGACATTTGATTTAAAAGCTGACGGTGCGTTTCTGATTTCTTTCCCCGGTGTCTCCATGTTTGTTTTGATGAACTTCCTGCCAAATGCCACTGACTGAGACCTCTGCTGACCTCACTAGGGAAAAACATCAGCACCATCTAGTGGACCGAAAAAGCATTTGTTTTTGTTTTTATTCTAGTACCAAAAGTTGTATTAAAATGTATATTTGCAAAAATTAGTTATGTATATAACAAAAAATAATACTTAGCGTCTGTATATTGATACAATATCGCCACACAATATATTGCAATACTATGCTGTATCGATTTTTTAGCACACCCTTAATAGCCACAAGTGCATCAAAGTGACACTGAAACACTTGTCTCACTGTTGTGTTGAAATGTCTTTAAGGTCAGTATTTTGTGGTGGAGGATGACATTCGTGAATTCACTCAGATGAAGGTGGACAAACGCTTTCAAGGGATTTTGAACATGCTGCGACACTGCCAGCGCCTTCGGGAGCTTCGAGGGGGGGGCATCACCCGCTACATGTTAATATGAATCAACAAGTCCTAATCAGATGGAATATGCTTTTACTGTGGTTGTTTTTTCTTCCTTATGGTGAAATAGTAAGTCAAAAGAATTTGTAAATGTGCGTACCTCGTGGTTTATTGTGGTCACAGTTACAGACTGCACATTTGTGCACCCTGTCAGACACTACATATGAGGTTTTTGATCTGCCAGACGGTTGGCCTCATTGACTTATTATATACTCAGAACATTTTTTAAAAGCAAACAGTGACATTGTGTCTGTCACAGAATCTAATCGCAAAGAGTGCATCTGTGTGGGTTCATTTCACATTTAAATAATTACCCATGGATATTCTTTCTCTTATAGCCTGTATGAGCACATTAGCAATGTGGAATATGTATACATGTATGTATGTTGTGGTACAAATAGATTTTTTGTTTTGTATTACATTGTTACAAGTGTCAACAACATTTTGTATTTTTGAGTTAAACAAAATAAAAATCAAAAGAATAAAAATTACCTTGTGATTAACACCTTGAAATTCTTATCGTCACTCAACTTCAACTTTATTTTTTGTCCCTCGAAGACAATTGGTTGTACAGCAAGTAAAAACACATAAAAGGCACAAGTGAACACTTAAGAATGTGTAGAAACAAAAGTCAAATGGTCAGGAGCTGGGCCAGAAAGCTCTCAACCTCGTTCCCATCTTCTCGAACGGACTTTCTTTGTTTTCCATTAGATATCAAAAACTCAAATACTCAGAGGTAAAAAAAAAAATCACTGGAGACACGTAGAATCAGATGCAACTGAGTTTAATGTGCTCGCAGGCAACAAACACATCACAACTCAATGAGTCAAGCTCCGGAGCAAGACTGAAATTTCTTTGTTTGTGCACTCGTTTTTATTGTTAAGATTTTCTGCTGAGTCGTCTCTTTCTTAATCCTTCCCACTTGGCTCTGATGTCACATTTCTGCTGAGTTTCCACTTTTTTTCTTTCATCCTACCACCATAACGGTGTCATATTTTCTGCTGAGCCTTCACTTTTTCTCCTTTCATCCTAAACCCCACCTCTTTACTCGTACTCATAATATTTTTCCTAGACAATCTAAGACCGCCTCCTCTTACTAGGGTCATTCTCAGGACAAGCTGTAATTCCCCTAACTTTCCACCAGTGTTTCTGAGCCCATCCTCATGCTATTTTTAGAAATGATGCCTAGGTACTTCTCCACCACAATACTTAAATGCTCAGTGAGTGTGTGTGTGTCATAGGAATACATTAAATAATAAACTAGTGGGTGTCTTGTCAGTGCACAGAGTACATTGCTTCAACACGTATCTTTAAAAGTCAACTTAAAGGTACAGCATACACACTTGAGTAAACATTACACTACAAATGTACATATATAACAGTCGGGGGAGGGGTGGGGAGCCAGATGCAGTGAGCTGAAACAACATTGCACAGTGGAATCCAGTCATTACAATGTAAAAAAACATTATTACTGATAATAAATAAATTACCAAGCAAACTGAATGATTAGCAACAACTGAAGTGAACAAGGGTAATTAAAGTGCATAGTGACCCTGCATGATGGATAAGATGGATTACAAGATCAACATCTTGGGGGCTGTCGGAAAGGATGGCTCACTATCCTACACTGAAACATGCAAGTTAGCTTACCAAAATGATGTTGTGTAAGAAATGCTCAGGTATTCAAAAACAATTAAAATGAAGACAGATTTTCGATGGAGGTCCTGCCAGTATTACATGGGGTTTGTAGCTTAATAAAATATTTTTTCTAGTTGTCCACAATGTGAGGGTAAGACCTCAAAATATATATATTTTTTTTAAGATCCTGGGGTCCACTACTGATGATGTGTCCTAAAATTTAGATACAATCCAAATATGGAAATATCTAAAAACTTAAGTCAAAATCAAGGTAACAGTGATCACAAAGTATTAAATCAAACATTAAAAAACAAAACAGATATGATCCAAATACGGGAATAAAACTTTGAAATCAGGATTAATTTTAGAAATCTAAATGGGCTGTACTTGTATAGCACTTTTTTTAGGATTCTGATCACATACAAGGTGCCACCTGCTACTCAGTAACCATTCACACACACTGAATAAACGGGAGCAATTTGGGGTTCAGTATCTTGCCCAAGGATACCTCAACATGCAGTCTGGAGGAGCTGGAGATCAAACTGCTGATCTTCGTTATGGACGAGCTGCTCTGCCTTCTGATATTAGTTAGCCTATGTACAGACAAAAATAAATATGGTATAAGACAACTATCAAAAAGATGTGTGCATAATTTTAACCATTCGTATTCGTAATGTTAAAGCAGAGATATTGGATAAAGCGAGATACCCCACTCAGCTCACTTCCTGATTCAGTGACGTCAGCGCCACGCCCCCGTAGGTTAAGGGAGAACAGGCTCTGATTGGAGGGAGAGCTAACCACGCCCACTTAGGAGACAGGAAGAGTAACCGTTTTCTTAACATTGGATAAGCCTACGGTGGGGTATCTCCTTTATCCAATATCTCTGGTACGAGCTGAAAACTGTTGAAATTACGTCACTAAGGTCACAGGCAGGTCACAGGGGAAAGTAATTGAACCGCAATTCCTCCAAACGTGCATGCCCCAAAGGCAAAGATGACAGCGGACCAAATGGAGTTGCCAGCTTGTTACTGTGTCCTATTTCTGCAGTCCTGTAAATCATTCTTTAGACCAAACAGCCTACATCAAGAAATTTCTGATATAAGACACTAACAGCAGAGTTGGAACAGAAGGACATACAGGTTTGATTCTGAGCTGAGAGTAAATGATGAAGGTATAGTGTACAGGTGGTGCTGTGACTGGCTGGTAACTGAAGCCTGATCTACTGAATCATGTCCGATAAGAACAACCCAAATGTGTCTTTATTTTTTGCTAATTTTTCATTTTCATTTCTGCCACACTATCAACACATGCTCATTTTTCCATACAGGTAGGCCTACGTGTGGTTCTGAATAAAAAGTAAATACATGCTATCTATAACTAGGTTGTAAATAAACCATAAACGTCAAATATCAAATTAAATGAATAGTATTAAATACATCTGCATCAATAACCTGGAGAATGAAGCCAACATTTCACAAAGAGACAAACCAGACAGGCCCGCTGGCCAGGTGGCACCCACGACTCATTTATTTTGCAAAACAGTACAGTGGGAATGCCTTTGGAGGCAGGGGCTGTGAGAAGTGGATGGCTTGTTGGGGAGCATCTTTTGTTCTAGTCTTTTATTTCAGTTGTTTTTAGTTAGTATTTTCAGTAAGTCTCTATTCCGTTAATGTTAAAATGTTATATTGTTTGGGTGACCGGGCATATGGCCTTAAAACATGGCTGATGACACCATACGCAAACCCTGAAACCCCTCAAGAGGTGCGCTATAATAACATACA